GTACGTCGTTTTCTATCTTCCTTGTCCAAATGTGGGGCTTGGAACTCTGACGACTTTCAAACAGCCTGGACAGTAGTAGATAAGTCTATCGCAATATGTAAAGGCCACTACGGTTTAACCCTAACGGCTGCGATCTTCCAGGCCCGGTTCCTTAGGAGATGAGAGAAAGGTCTTGGGAAAGCCAAAGTAGTAGGAAGAATATATTGTTTACAGAATGAGTTGAAGATTGGTTCATAGGAAGTTTGACTAGGTCTGGCGTTGCTTTCGACCGTGAGAGCCATGTGAGAGAGCAGGGGCGGTGCTTCCGCTCCGCGAGGGAGCAGAATTCCAAGTGAGTCTAGCGTCAGTCATCCCGAGCGGCCACCGAATCCTCTCTCTATCTCGCGGCATGAATTTGATTGGAAGGACCGCACGAAGATAGACATTGGCGTGGGTGGTCCGTGTTTCATGCGCCAGTTTGCGTCTGGTTGGAGGCAGGCTGAAAAGGACATTCGTGCAAGGTCCTGCTCTGAGTAACCTAGTCTGTGACGTCAAGAGTTAGGTGGGCGTCGGGCAGAAAAGACCACTACAAGTCTACATGCGTGTCTAAGTTGAATCTTGATTAAACCAGCCTCGATGAAAGTGCAGAAGGCGAGGGAGGGATGACAGCTCACGTGCAAGAAAAGGAAATGCTCTTTTTGGGCACCACCCATTGTTTTATCAGAATGGTTGCTAGAACAGAAAAAAGGCAATGCTCTCGGAAGTTGGGGAGGGTCTTAATGAGTACAGGGCACTGGCAACTTTCCTCTCTAGCTGTCTTTTCGTCTGCTTGTAGGAACATCCACTTGTTAAACTGACGGCTGTGGACAAGGATGAAGGACCAAATGCGGAGCAGGTGTTCCTTATCGCTGAAGGCAATGAAAAGGGCATTTTCCAACTGGATCCTCAAACTGGAGACTTGAGTTTAAAGCCGGAACTTGAGCTCACCTCCATCCAGGGACGCTATCAACTGAAGCTCGAGGTTGGTTCCGTTGCCTCTTTCACACAAGATGCTCGCAGATGCCCAGATTGAGATCCTAATTCCTAAGCTAAAGTCCTTTTTTCTCATTTGTGACCTCGAGGCCACGAATTTTTCACAAATGGGCAACCGAATTATTTAAATCTGCTTAACCCCCCAATAAAGTCCTTTTGTCAGATTCCAAGTGTCAATATTCCTGTCTGAGGCTATTTAACGAGCAACTCTTAGCTGGTTTAACTCACATAATAATGTAATTTGCTAGAAGTTGAACGAATGGCGCAATCTATGTTACGGCTTCTAGTGAATATATTTTACATATTCCAATGTGTGCAGTATATTTTTTGGCTGGCTTGCAATCATATTAATTACTGATACTATTAGTTTAATAAAAAATCAATAATCAACTACGGACATAAATACTGTTACGCTGAAATTTTTACCCTTGATTGTGCGAGTGATAGGAACACTTAACAATTACCAAAATCCAAACCTTATCAGCCTAGTCGCTAGTGATTTAAGTGAATCGGAATATACACATATAGGGACAGGTTATTTCCACCCCTCTAACCCACCGCTAACTTCGTTACTATTTAGAAAGGAAGTGGTGGTAATTGGGCTTTTAAAGTGGTGACATTTTTCCAAGGAAACATGAAACATACGTGAATTTTCGACAAATTTTATTCTTCTAAAATTATGAACATTAATGAAATAAACAAAAGTAAATCTACTGAATAAAAGAAATAGGAATAAAAAATAGAAATAAAAAAAATTTGTGAGTGACAGTATATGAATGTTTTAGTTAACAAATAAAGGGTTATTCCTCACAGTTATTAAATAACAAACCAAAACAGGCCAGGCTAAACTCAGGAACTTAAATACACTACCTTTTCCATATAATTCAATAAAATTGCGGTAAATATGGAAAAACGATCATTTCCACCGATATCCATTTCATCTTCAATCTGGCCACTCTATTGTCTATCAAGCTCCCGCAGTCGTTCAAAATAAAATTGATTTCTTGAAGCTGCGATTCAACCGTACTTGAATTTCTTCAAGTTTATGCATCCTTAGCTTATTTAAATAAAACCAAAGCAAGCAATTGACTGAAGTAATCGCATCAGGGGTATACGGAGGACGCTCCGATGCCGAAAGTGCTTGTCTTAGACTGTCCGCTTCTGTGCATAACGTTAAGAGAAAAAAACATTACCAGTTAATACAAAAATGCTTTTATCGAAAATATACATTCGATTTCAGGTGTGTCACCCATCGCCTTCACATAATGTGGGATAATTACTTACAAATCATTATCCTGGTATTTTATCACTTGAAAACCAAAAAAGTCAATGCTTCCCATTGTCGTAGTGTAACAATTTCGGCTTACGTTTGCTTCTGAGTGTTTTCTGATAGTATTTGATGCTCAAGTCGTACATGTTCGTCGTAATCGGTTATTTTTGACAGTTTGTACGACTCCAAATATCACGTTGTAATTCATCCTCCCATACTCCACAACATGGTCAAGGACGAATGAGAACTCCACCTTAAAGTCGAAGAAGCATCACAGAGGCTCATTATTGAACAGTTTTTTTTTAATAAGAAGTTTTGTCTGGGCGCAGAGGATATATGATCTCAATCCTGGCGAATATTTAGTCACTTTCTCTATATTTGGTCCTGAAGTGCAGTAAGTAGTTTACTGGTATATTCGGACATCTACATTTCCCCAACCCTACTCCCAACTCCCGTCTACTCGATGAGGTTTTTGTTGTCTTGCAGGCTAAGTGAGCTTTAGGTACCTCTACTGAGTTCCATCTTCAGTCTTCGAGTTATTTTTCAAGATAAAAGGCTGTCTCCCCGTTGTAAAATATAAAGCGCTTTCCGTGTTTTAACAATTTGGACGCAGAGAATTCCGTTCAAGCATCCGCATGAAGTAGATCATTTAAAAAAAAATCAGTAACATAATGACAGCAACTCTTGATGTATAATTCCAGCTCTGTTGGTACTGTAAGCATTTAAATGTTTGACAAAACCATTACAGATTACCCAGCAAGTTCCCTATGCTTGCGTCCAGTACTTCTTTTGCCATCAAGTAATCCTCCAAAAGTAACCCGATTGGTTCCATCCGCCTTGTTAGCACATAAAGCGATACTCCCTCTTAAGTGCACGCTGATATCGGATGGTATACATCGCATAATCCCTCCGTAATATTTTGAAAAATGCGCGGTTTTTAGAGCCTGTAAGTATTTTGCAGAGTGTGTGGTTCTGATTGGTTTGCCTGGGCACAAATTTGTACTTTTTAACCACTTCTGTTTCTCAAACGAAACCATAGGCATTAAACCCCCGGCTGATATATTTTATGGTCCGGATTTATGATACTTTAGTAGGGGGGATTAGTAAGTTTGGTAAAGATCAAGATGAGGAAGGATGATGAAGCTTGGCGGGGGAGGACAGTGGCCGTGGCGACACTGTTGTTGATGAGAGGCCCTGATTTATGACCCAATCCGAAAACGGAGGAGAGCCCAGCTTCCATGGGTGGTGTAAGAGGGAGATTCTAAAGGTGTGGAGGTTCCTCGGCACCTTTCTCTTTTTGTATTCACTTATCAGTTTGAATATCGGCCTCTACATACACACATTTTTTTTGCGTTAGTGTATGTGAGCGGGAATGTACCGGTGCGCGTATGTTCTGACCTTTCCGCGCTTAACAGACAGTGAGATGTGGATGTGTGTGTGTGTGTGCGCGCTTGGCCCACCTCTTCTACAACCTGGAGTTCTCTCTCTCTCTGAAGCTGTCGACTGCGATAAATGGTCCGCGCACACATCATTATCGGAGTTTAAAAGGGAGCGTGGGTCGGGAAAGAGAAAAAAACGTGTGTGTGTGTGTGTGTGTGTGTGTGTGTGTGTGTGTGTGTGTGTGTA